ATTTAGTTTTCCTCCAGATGCGCTGTGAGCTAACTGGGTTGTTGGGAGCACCTGTGGTTTACCGATAAGATTCCAAGTTCTTCGACTAATAAGTGTGATGTCAGAAGCGGTGTCGAGTTGCAGGCGGGCACACTTTTTATTTATATCCAAGTTTGCATACTTTCTTTGGCGACAAATTCGTGCTCGATTATGTGATACCAATATTTTGTTAGTTCGAGCACTAAATCTGTATTTCTTCGAGTAGGGTTTCAAGGAACGTCGTTTATGGATTCTTTTAATGCAGCAGTTTTCTTTATGTCCTTTCCGATGACATTTGCTACAACAATGTTCCTTATATGGGCAGAACCTTTTATAATGCCAACCCCCACAAGACCAACATGGAGATGAAGGCTGATTGTCTGTGTGTGATACCTTTCTTGAGCAAGAATCGTTCTTTCCGCTTACAGCACGAACGTATGGCAATTGGCCATTATTCTCGACCATCGAAGTGTCATGCTTTAGGTTTACCAATCTCTGACACTCTGTTGTTACTTCTTGTAGTGTCATATTCGGACATTGTTCAATATTACTCAAAATTCTGGTTGTAATATCGGCATCCTCGGGAGATTGGAGGCTGCACACAAACACGAGACACTTAAACTGGTCTTCTGTCATTGGTGATAGTTTGAAGCGCTCACATTCACGGTTTACTAAACCCGCATGCTTCACCCAGTCATCATCACCTGCTTTTGTCATCTTAAGACATTGATAACGAATATTAAACAAGGATGACTGTTCAGCAAAGATTTGCGACAAAATTTCAATCGTTGCATCAAAAGAAAAATCTCTTGGATTCTTTGGAAGGATAAAATTACTGTAACGTTCATGTTCAACAGTTCCAAGTTTTCGCAAGAGTATTCTGACCTTAGCGGCGTCATCAAGTTTTTTGAGGTCGACCTTAAATAAGTCTTCATATTTCTTGAACCAAGTTTCAAAAGTAATGCCGGTTGAACCATCAAAATTAAATTCATGTATAGCATTAACGATCTGGTCAACATGAGATTTGAAGGTGTCAACTGTAACTTCTTTATGATCCAGGTTCATTTTCTGAGTTAGCATCTCCATCATGCGCATCTGGAACTGTTCAAAACGTTTTTCTTGGCGTTCCAGTAAGGCTTCAAATTGTTCGAATATGACACTACAAGAAGTAACCACAGAGTGTCAGAGATTGGTAAACCTAAAGCATGACACTTCGATGGTTGAGAATAATGGCCAATTGCCATACGTTCGTGCTGTAAGCGGAAAGAACGATTCTTGCTCAAGAAAGGTATCACACACAGACAATCAGCCTTCATCTCCATGTTGGTCTTGTGGGGGTTGGCATTATAAAAGGTTCTGCCCATATAAGGAACATTGTTGTAGCAAATGTCATCGGAAAGGACATAAAGAAAACTGCTGCATAAAAAGAATCCATAAACGACATTCCTTGAAGCCCTACTCGAAGAAATACAGATTTAGTGCTCGAACTAACAAAATATTGGTATCACATAATCGAGCACGAATTTGCCGCCAAAGAAAGTATGTAAACTTGGATATAAATAAAAAGTGTGCCCGCCTGCAACTCGACACCGCTTCTGACATCACACTTATTAGTCGAAGAACTTGGAATCTTATCGGTAAACCACAGGTGCTCCCAACAACCCAGTTAGCTCACAGCGCATCTGGAGGAAAACTAAATATTGTTGGAGAAGTTTGCTGTATAGTTTCGAAAGGAAACGCGAAAACGAATGCAACTTTATATCTCACAGAGAACCCAGGACTAGATTTGCTAAGTCTAGATTTGATAGAAACACTACAATTAGCAAATCACCCCATTAACCACATATGCAGTGCAGTGAGAACCAATAAACCGGTCAAAAAGGATCTGAAGAGTGTTGTATTGGAAAGACATAGTCAAGTGTTTACGGAAGAGTTGGGGGAATGCAAAAAGGTAAAAGCACTATTGATTCTTAAACCGGGAGTCACCCCCGTCTTCAGACCAAAACGTCCGGTACCCTATGCAGCACTACCTATTGTTGAACAAGAATTAGAGCGTCTGCAAGGAAGTGGAATAATCGAACCAGTAAACTTTTCTGATTGGGCAGCACCAATAGTGATTGTTAAAAAGCCTAATGGAAGTATTCGGTTATGTGCAGACTATTCGACTGGATTAAATGAAGCACTTGAAGACCATCAATACCCATTGCCGGTACCAGAGGATTTATTTGCGAAACTGAATGGGGGTAAGTATTTTGCGAAATTAGATCTATCAGACGCTTATCTACAGATTCCGGTAGCGGATGAGTGTCAGCATTACTTGACAATAAACACTCACAAGGGGTTGTTCCGATATAACAGATTTCCTTTTGGAGTAAAGACCGCCCCTTCAAACTTCCAACAAGTTATGGACAATATGTTACAAGACATTCCTGGTACCGCGGCTTATCTCGATGATATATTGATCATGGGTACAGATTATGCTGATTTAGAGAATAAGGTGGATACGGTTCTCAGACGCATAGCAGATTATGGATTCAGACTGCGTGCCGAAAAATGTGATTTTTACATGGAGCAAGTTCGGTATTTGGGATTCATAATCGATAAAAACAGGAGAAAACCTGATCCTGAAAATGTCGAAGCCATTAAGTCCATGCCTCCACCGACTGATGTATCAACTTTACGTTCTTTCTTGGGAATGGTTAGTCATTATGGAGTTTTTCTTCCAGATCTGCATCGCCATCGTGCTCCTCTTAATTGCTTACTGAAAAAGGATACTAAATGGTTTTGGTCAACTGAATGCCAGGAAGCATTCCTAAAACTGAAGCAGCTTCTATCATCGAACCTTCTCCTTACACACTATGATCCCGATCTTCCAATTATAATCGCTGCAGATGCGTCGAACTACGGAATTGGAGCAGTAATTTCACATGCCTACCCTGACGGGTCTGAGAAAGCAATCGCTCACGCTGCGAGATCGTTGACTATGACTGAAAGAAACTACAGTCAAATAGAGAAAGAAGCCCTCGCGATTATATTTGCTGTAAAAAAGTCCCACAAGATGTTGTTTGGCAGACAATTCAGCTTACTTACAGACCATAAACAGTTTTTGGATCTAAAAAAGGTATCTCGGTATATACAGCAAACCGGCTACAGCGATGGGCTACCACGCTGCTGGGCTATGATTTCAAGATAAAGTATCAACCAACAACGGATTTCGGACAGGCAGATGCACTCTCAAGATTGATTGGTCTGCATGAAAAACAAGAAAAAAAGGTACGTGTCTGATCGTATCAAGGCAGTAGGAAATGGGAACCAGGTGTCATAGAACGTCGAATCGGAATTGTACTGTACCTAGTCCGGAAAGGTGTCGGAAAATGCCTAAGACATATAGATCAAATGCAAAGAAATGATAGTACAGTGGTCACAGAAAACCGGCTCCCATTTCAATTGCTCGTAGATTCATCTCAGAAGAACCATCATGAGCGCAAATATCGAAAAGACAAACGACGCAGAGAGAGAGAGCTGTACAACCCTCGAGAATAATGGACCGCAAGAGGAATGCGACACCCAAGCTTCAGGTGGATCCAAGAAAAAAATCTTACACAACGGACTTTAAAGGGGGAAGGTGTGACGACGGACCACCGGTGAACTCGAGGAAGCTGTAAGAGGCTCAGAAGGAGCCGAAGACGTCTCATCCAATCACTTTTCAGAAGAACGTTCTAGAATTCCAACGTGTAGCTTCCCGATTGGATAATGTTAATAACTCCCTGTATGCGGATTGGAAGACTGTAATGATGATTTTGTTCTCACTAAAAACTATAAATAGCTGATAATTTTGTACTATGATTGACACTGTTTGGAATAATATTCCTTTCATTAGTCTTCTGTCTTCTTATTGCGACTTGGAAGGGTTTTGGTGTTCTAGTGCTCTGTTATACGCGGTATATCGAGAAAAATCAGTTTCATGATTACAATTTCTATATATCTAAAATCGTAATTTTACTAAACAAAATCAACCTTACATAAGTTGGTAATATTATTGTGCAATGACAAATGTGAATCCTAAGTCAGACAAATATATCAATTTAAAGCCTGGGACAGATTTGCAGCTTAGACTAATAGTTAATGACTTTATAGACTGATGTCATATCTTGGTTTGACTACCCCTAGCTTTCTTCTAACTTACGTCTCCATTAGCAAGTATCACTCTTTAGTGTAGTTGATGATTAGACACTTCAGTAGATGAAAATTCACTACCTCATCAATTGATTTTTCACTTTTATCAAGTATCATATGCTTAACTTAAGTTCGTGGTACAAATTATTTATTTATTTCACGTAATTATTTCGTTCTGTAAACAGTTTGTCAATGAACCGTTAAATATCTTGATGATATTTTGAATGATTTCAATGATTGAAATGAATTGTAATTTCATGTTATTTTTCCTAGATTATTACTGAATTAGTAGTTCATTATCAGTCGGAAAGTAACTTTCTAATCGTATATAAAAAGAACCTCTTTAAGGATATAACACACAGTCAATCAGTCAATCAACAACGTAGAACTTCGTACATATGTACATCAGTTGGAGTTACCATACCACATTAGCACATAGATACAATTGTCTATTTAAATCCTATAGTGGTAGAGGTAATAAGAGTATAACACACAATTCTCAGTGAGTGGGACAGACCATCATTAGAACTAACATGTATGTTACTATTATCACCGTTTAATGAAGTGAGAAACCTTTGAAATTGAAAATTCCATTTCAAAGTCTTGACATCTCATCCTTACTTCACAAATGTTAGTAGTTGTTAATTCTATTTAGAAATAATATCTTTTTGAGATGGTGGAGAAGATTTGTAGCTCAGGTGGATGATTTTGGTGTAGTTTTGTTCTCTGAGCTGCTCAGAGAACGAAAACTACACCATAATATCTTTTTTAAATTATTTAACTCTCTAATCTTTAATTAATCATAGATTACATGGAAACGTGTTCCAGATGAAACTGTTTGGGCTGTTGGATCACAATATATATTAGATAATCAGAAAAAACATTCTGTGAAATTGAGATTAGATCATTTAAATCAGATTAGTTTAGCTTTTACAACATATTTATCAAAAAGTGAGTTAAAACACATTTATATAATACTATCTTCATTTGATTAAAAGAAATGATAGATTTACTTATAAACTGTATTACTAATCTTTCAAGTAATGCGGCTCTAATGGTTTACAATAATAAACTTGAACTCCATTCAATCTACATATGTTTAAACAATCGGATAGTATCATTAGTTATCGCACTTAAATTGTGGCTCATACTTATGTATCTGACGAATGAATTTATAGGAAGATAGTTTCCATTATCGTAGAACTTATGTTTATGATAATACAACATATGAGAAACTCTCCATAGTACACTATAAACATTCACATATAACTTATTTTCACAATGATTAACTTGGTCTGAAAACTCTCAACCGTGAATAAAAGAACTTTCTTTTTTAAATGGTTGATTTTAGTATAACCTTTAAAAAGAGTAGATTATGACTAAATATTTACTGCTCTTTCTTTTATCCAAAACGTTTCCTATCTTCATAATATAATTTTTATTTATTTATTTTAACACATAGATATTAGTACAAAAAGGCACCAAATAGATATGCGCCACACAGATCTTATTTGATATGTGTGTGAGAGCTGTGATACTGCCCGGGTGCCCAAACCGAAGCAGGTGGTCTACTCAGGGGGCCACACACCGAGCCTTCGACCTGAAGGTCTGATCCACAAGGTAGTGGAAAATGGTAAGGAGATGTAGTCCCATGGTAGCCGGTGACGAACGATTGGTTAATACGCCACTTGTCCCTTCAGGATACTGGAGCCCATGTGCACCATTGTTTTGAAATGAGGGTTTTCCAACTCCTCTAGGTGGACTCTCCATGTCCACCAATCCGGTTAAAGCGTCGGACGTTCGTTTTTCGTCCTGTCAGTTTCGTAAACAACACGTGTGGTGCGAGAAGGTAGTGAGCAGGATTTCCCTAACAGAGGCTATATACGCGTGGCCATCTAAGAGCATTTCGAGAATGAGAGCGGACACTCCCCACTCTCGGCCATACCAGGGCATTTAGGGGTCATATAATTATTCCTGAATTAGTAGTAAGCAACACAACATTTGTGCTTTAATTAGAAAGTACGCTTTTCAATTAGACTATAAATAACCATATTGTTTACCAGTGAAGGCTTTATTATGTTTGACAAACTTCAATCACTCATCAAATATTGAGGCATCAAAGTTAATTGTTTGTTATTAATATCTTGCTTAGATATAAAACTAATTTTACAACTCGGATTTCATTTCACTTTAATGTTGGTATTGAGATTCGGTATGAATTTATTTCTTCATCTTCCAAATATTAGTTCATTCCAACATACTGATTAGAGTCGCTTAACTTTTATTCATTTAGGATATAGTTTTCCTTATCTCATTCAAGTTTGTTTACAGCAGTTAAATTATTTTAATAGCTCCTCTCTCTCGTTCACACACACACACAAGTGACTACATAATTTCTTACTTGTAATAAATTTGTATTTGACTCCTCATTTGAAGATAATATTCAGTTGAAATTCCGTCTTCGAATGCCATGGTACAGCCAAGGGTGGGGAGAGTCAGTTCTCCCTCACGAAATGCTCTCATACGACCAAGCGTATACAGCCACTGTCGGGGAAGTCCTACTGCCTTTTCATGGCGTGGGTGTTGTCTACGAAATTGAGAGAATGAAAACTGAATATCTGGTGCTTTAACTGGGTTGGTGGACACGACGAGTCCACCTAGTGGAGTTGGAAAACCCTGATTCCAAACCAATTTTGCACATGAACTCCAAGATCCTGAGAGAAGAAAAAGTGTATGAGCCTGTTGTCGGTCACTGGTTTCCATGGGACTACATCATCTAATGTTGTTGCACTGCCTTACAGATTATACCTCTAGATCAAAAGCTCAGGGAGTGGCTCCCTAAGAAAACTACTTGCTTCAGTTTGGGTGGCTGGACAGTTTCGAACACTCATACAAATGTTGTGTGACACTTATGTTTTGGTGCCTCTTTGTACCTATGTTTATGTGCTTAACTAAGTAAATAACAGTGGCTTAATGGTTGTAGTACTCGTTTTCCAACTAGCACCTTAGGTTAGTACCTTGCTCTGTCTAATTTAATGTAGACACGCGGTTAGCATCTCGAAGCATCATACAAAAGGTGTAACTTGAAGCCATGTATAGGATTATGCTTGATTATCCATCTAAACAATTTCCATCGAATATTCTAATATTTTGTGATCGATAATTGAACCTGATCGTTACACAGTGTTTTGATTTTTTGTTTCATAAGTAGTCAGTCCTTTTCAAACATCTCATTGCTTATTTTATAGTGCATCAATTAGAGATTAGGTTGCCGAGTTATTTATTCCATACATTACACATTTCACTACTACATCGACAAATGATAAGTGGTCACTCTAACTCTGACTGTAACCAATAAATTTCTATCTTTTTGTAAGATAGTGAAACTCTAGCATTTAAAGCGATCTAACTTCATCCACTTAGTTTCAGGTTTAAACCCTATTTCATTTACTTCAACTTGAGCAACCGAATGGTATCGCTAGAGCTCGAAATTAAAAAATGGAGCTCAAAATCAAATATACAAACTTATATCTGCTTGATAAGTTAATAATGGTAAAAATAACTGTCAACTTTTGAATAGATTGTGTGATGAAACTACCATTTATGAACAACCTTTGAGCTACTCTGAAGTAGTGATCTTACGAATAATCACCTACATACTACAGCTAAATGAGAGTTATAAACCAATGTGAAGAATTAGGGTTAAAAATTAGATTTCAAGGTTTTTCATCACGAATTGACATTAGCTATGATATCAAAACTTTATTTAGCCAAATGATTGAATTGATTTCGCGCCAAAATTCAAGATTTGTTATCGTAAATCTGATTGGTTCGTTTATAAGTTGTATATATATATATATATATGTATATATATATATATATATATATATATATATATATATATATATATATATATATATATATATATAAGGTATGTTCGCTTACATCTCCTTTTTTCTTTCTATATTCTATGATAGGTCTTCAATTGACATTGAGTGGAGTGTTCAATGGTCCAGATTTAACAAAAATGGGTATTGGTTTAGAATTGAATACTTAAAATCTTTATGAATATATTAATTTTTTCTATAAATTAAAATAAACAATATAAAACTATGTATCAATTTAATAGATTGAAAACAATTGTGAATGAATTAGTTCACTTTCTTTTTGCCCCGGTCTCATTGTTACAATCATTCTTTCATTAAATACAAAAGTATTAGTTATTTAGATTGTTAATGTTGAACATTTATTCTCTCATTTCATGCATAGTTATGTTGCTTTTTTATTGTTCAACTGTTTTCTTTCCATCACCACCACTACCACCACTTCCCAACTATTTAGTTCATATACTGACACTACATTATCCAAGTGTATATGATCTTTTGTAGGTGGGTTTTGCCTCTGCTTTTTTTTTCTAAAGATTTTTATTTATTTATGAGATTACATATTAAGTTGAATCTCTTAAAAGAATCTGTATTTTATCATAAATATAGATAGTTACATGTAAATGTACTTTTATAGATTAAATGGCCCCCAAATACCCTGGTACGGTTGAGAGTGGGGAGAGTTCGCTCTCCCTCTCGAAATGCTCTCACATGGCCACGCGTATATAGCCTCTGCCAGGGAAGTCCTACTCACTGTTTTCTCGTGGCGGGGGTGTTGTTTACGAAACTGACAGGACGAAAAACGAATGTCCGGCGCTCTAATCAGATTCCAAAACAATGGTGTACATGGGCTCCAGTATCCTGAAGGGACAAAATGGCGTATGAACCAATTGTTGGTCACCGGCTACCATTTGACTACATCTCCTTACGATGCTCTACTGCCTTGTGGATCAGACCTTCAGCTCGAAGGCTCGGGGGGGTGGCCCCTTGAGTAGACCACCTGCTTCGGTTTGGGCACCCGGGCAGTATGACAGCCCTCACATATATCGAATGAGATCTCTGTGGCGCATATGTATTTGGTGCCTTTTTGTCATAATATCTATGTGTTTGAATAAATAAATAAATAGATTAAATGTAAACTCACACTAATCTATAATAGGATATTGAGTTTGAGTCTCATTATATACATAAATAGTAAGATGGAGGTATATTCAATTGTCAGTGAGTTCGAAACCGAACATTGTTCATCTTATAATTTCCACTGCTGACAATTGTCGATTTGTAAGTTGAACTGATAGTAAAATATCCTTTCAATAGTGAAGGATTGAGAGTTGTTGCTTTAGTTATCCAGCCTTCAACCATAAAGTGATAAGTTTAAACGTTAATCCACCTACTTTGATTTTAATAATCGAATAGTATTGTACAACATAACTAACCCGAGTACATAAATATATTAGACATTAATACCATTGAACACTTGCTCAGTGGTCTAAAGGTTAAATGTTCGTACATGAGACTGGAGGTCCACAGTTTTATTGCTGCGTTCGGGATCGTGGATGCGTCCTACTGACGAGTCCCTTGCTAGGTTTTTAATCATGATCTAACATTGATCGGTTCATTATCTTAATGAAACTCAACAATCTTCATGACCGTATTCTGATACATAAATATATATTTGATAAATGAGTTATATCTGTTTAAGAAACCCAAATAGATTGATTAAAATGAGTATAAATAGTACGAAATCGGAAATTCTTATCATTAGTTGGGAGATCCAAAAAAACTCAAAAAAGCTGGTAAAGGCTTTGAAAACACTGAGAATAATCTTATCCAATCAGTATTCACTAGAAGTTTTGACAGAAACCTCTAAAAAGTGAAAAGTCACATGTCGAGTTTCTGATTGGATGATTACCTATACTGCTACTATGTTTAGTGGCGTTCCAGAACTATCTGGGAATCTAAAATCATCCAAAATACTGTAAAAACCGTAGGTTTTCTGTAAAAAATCGAAAATTTGGAGTAAAGCGTTTCTTCCGTATATCGCACCTTTTCTTTCATGTTCAAGTCGCTGTGTTCATTTAGCCTGGCGGTTAATAGGAAGAGCTCAGGAACCGAATCTAGCGTTCAATTAGAAGACTTATCAAGAAATGTGGAAGATTTTTTCGTCAATTAAATATGTAAGAAGGACACTTTCTAGTTGAGTTCAAATACTGTAGTATACATTATTAACTTCAGTTAATTTGTAATAACTAGAATATAAAAGTGGTACTTATTTTCTGTTGTTGATTGACATCATTGTGTAAACAATATCAGCTTACAAATTAGTTGAAACTGGTATGAATACCGAAAAAAATATAAAACTTTGGGAAATGGCTTCTCTTCACCGAAAGGAGTGGTTCGACTTTCTTCTCTGCTATTGTACATTCTTACTACCCTATAATGGGTTAAGTTGTTCACATATCATACAAGGTTGTAATCGTCCAAATTAAACTAGTTGATGAATCAGGCTACTGATTATTTATATAAGTAGTAAGATGAGTGAAACAAAGTTTTCAGTTCAAGTGTTGGCGTGATATCGGTTTCGATTTCATAATCGTTTTACAGGCGGAAAAATGAAATAAAATGTAATAAGCGACAGTTGGAACATTCAAGACTAAGTTGATTTATTGAAACAGAATTACAGTGTGTATAGGCCTCCAAATGCCCTCACATGGTCACGCGTATACAGCCACTGCTTTGATTCCAAGTTGTCCATTGAGGGTTTTTTGATAACATGTAAATACTTGATTACAGAAATGAAATCCCATGAATAGTATAACTTGTCATAGAAGTTTTATGCTAAAAAAATACCTCTTCCTGATCACAGTGAACCTTTCTAAATGATTTGTAACAATATGGCAAATTTATCGTTAAAACGTTTCTCTTTTGTGATAGTTTCTTTTTAAATGTTATTTTGTAACATCAGGAGGTTATGGGCAAAGATGGATATTGTCTAGCAGTGGAATCCAGGACTTGCGTATCTTCCTATTTGGAAATCGTCAGCTGGATACACCTGCATTTCAGAGGTGATGTTCACTCCTAAACTCGAATCCAGTACCGTTCGCTTCAAACGCCAACCTGCTGTCCACTTAGCTACTAAGTCCTAAATGGATAACTCGATAGTGTCAATTGCACACTCATGTTTTACATCTGCTCTTTACTCGACAGCATAATGTGTTTGACAACAAGAAAGTATGGTCGAAGTGATTTAGAAGATATCACTGCCAAAACAGGAATATATTATCTTCGATAAACCGTATTCGTTTGACCTGAACACAACATGTACTCCCTTCGTCCTCTCAAAACTGTTCACATTGAGAACTGTTACTTGACGATCCAGTCAGCAATATTTGTTTGAATATCACATACAATCATCACATCTATTTGAATTCTAATCTAATATGCGTTTTCACATAAGAAATATTTTTCTAAAATTAACAATAATGATGATAATACTAGTTACAAATTTCTTCTGTACACATAAATTGGGGTGAAATGTACGAGTTCCTATAGCTTCAGCTATATAAAGGCGACGGGAACGAACTCCGTTGAAAGATGATAGAGGTAAATGATAGATAACTTAAAATGATTTCGATTTATCTACATTATGACCACTATCAATCAATGGGGATGTGGCTAGCGATACTCTGAAAGATAGGTTAACAAAAGTAATTAGCAGGACATTATAAGCAGCCAATCTTGTGTTGACTTTCTCCAGTCGACCAGCGATGTCTACTCAAACGAAGGAAAATTTACCTGAGTTGACCTCCTCTATGTGTATTTACAAATTCAGCTGCTCCTGGAGAGATAGCTTTATCGGGCATAATACCAGGCAACTTAACCAACGAATAAGTGAACATCTACTAGCTTGGTTTGAGACGGGCCAGATCAAAACAATACACAGTTCTAACTTGGCACATCTAATTGATAGTGATGATAATGATAGTGTACATTATCTGAGAGAATGATCTGTCTGTTGACCTCAATTGTTGTTAATCAAATCATATGGTATTCTCTATTGTATTGTGAGCGTGATATGAATCTTAATTATAATATGGAATGTTGTTTTCTAATAATACATTGATATGAATGACAATCGCCTAATTTACACAGAAAAAAAATATGAATGAAATTTTCACTGTACACTTGATTACCACTTTTTTAAAGAGAAAATATATAGCTGTGGGTTGGCATCATTTACATTAATCTTCAGAGAAACATATTTCCTACGGTTACAAGAATCGATTCTGTTAAAAGTTAACGTTCCTTTGACTATTCAGAGCTTGAATCTTTTAAAACATACTTTCGTTTGTTGATGTTATTTTCCGGTTTTAAAATGAATGCCTCTTTCTGAAACATGTGGTGTAGGGATGATCTTTATACAAACAAAATCTTTTAAGATGTCAACTTCTACATAACCAACATGGAGATGATGTCTTCAGGCTATCATGATGATTATTTTGCGTATCAGGACAATGCAAGTCTTTTCTCTCGACTGTGTTGACATAATGAAACCGGTTATCATTCTCTACCCTTGAGATATCATGTTTCGAACTCACTAATCTTTTACATACAGTAGTTACTTTCTGTAGGGTAATGCTAGAACAATGCTCAAGGTTGCTTAGAATTCTCCTTAGGATATCAGCATTCTTGAGCAACGTAGTACTTATTTCTTATACTGCAAAGTTGAGTGATATGAGTTTGGATCACACGAAGAGTATTAGTTTCTTCAGAGATGAGCGTTCACTTCACTGACTTGTACCAAATACCATAAAACCTAGCTTCACGGATTTCTGCCAACAGACTACAAACAGAGAACATCGTCTGACTCAATCAAAATATCTCCTCAATAACATCAACTTAAAATGTGAATTTGAAGTTGTTGAGACAGACATACCTGACATGCTATTTAAATGTTTAAGTACGAATCGTCCAGAAAATACAGGTGTTTATTAATAGTTGTTTATGCAAAATACTTCGGATCCGTTGGCCGGACATTATTAGCAACAACGTACTGTGGGAGAGAACAAACCAGATCCCAGCGGAGGAAGAAATCTGGAAGAAGCGCTGGAAGTGGATAGGACACACATTGAGGAAAGCACCCAACTGCGTCACAAGACAAGCCCTCACATGGAATCCTCAAGGCCGAAGGAAAAGAGGAAGACGAAAGAACACATTACGCCGGGAAATGGAAATAGACGTGAGAAAAATGAACAAGATTTGGATGGAACTAGAAAAGAAGGCCCAGAATAGAGTGGGTTGGAGAATGCTGATCGGCGGTCTATGCTCCATTAGAAGTAATAGGCGTAAGTAAGTAAGTAACGAATGCTTCCTTACGGAGAAATTCATTTCAATTCTGTTGTAAAATTAAGACGAGTTCTAATACTAAATGATATTTCAAAATGTATTCGATCTCCTATAAAATCAGATCACTTCCACCTAACGATGATATCCAACTTCAATCAATATTCAACACAGACATACATTTGGTCAACAGTAAATTGTAACTATCCAGAATATTGGGTATCGATCAGTTTATCTATCACAGTGATTGGTATAGAACGATAAGAAGAACGTAGTGTGGAGTTTATCATTAAGACGATTGACTACAATCTTATAGTCAATACAAATGTGACGTATTAAGTAGTTGAGTGTGGAAGCATCAGGATTATTAATGGGCGTTTCATAGATTGATAAAATGAGGACGTGAGAACTAGATAATTCTATAAGTAAGCAAAAACTACACTCATTCAAAATAAGATGAGTAATTGATTACAGTGTTTATTCATATCTGAAGCAAGATCTTCTATGAACTGATGGACAAACTATTTGTCTTCACTTCATTTTCTCTTTAGAAAAGTAGTGATCATTTGTATAGTGAAAATTTCATTCATATTTTTTCTGTGTAAATTAGGCGACCGACATTTCATATTATAATTAAGATTCATATCACGCTCACAAGAAAATATAATCATTGGTATTTATACAAACAATAACTGAGGTCAACAGAATTATATTTCAATAGTTGAGATCATGAGTCAATTGAAGCTAGACCATCATGGAATACCTGGAATCACTGGACAGCTGTTTCGTCTTATTGTGGGACTCCTCATTAGTGCGCATCCACTATCCTACCTCGCAAGATTCGAACCCAGGACCTACCGGTTTCGCGCCCAAGCACTTATCCACTAGACCACTGAGCTGGTCGGCATCCAACGGTGTTAATGTCTAACTTCAACTAATCCACGAAATTGAGCGACACATTCACCATTGTCTTAGGTGAGTTACTATCTCACAACAGACCTGGTTGAACTCCACTGATCACCACTTCTCACTAGAACTTCGGTTATACTCTTTGAAGCCAGTCACCAGTGAGCATATGTTGATTAATATCAGATCTTAATTATTGAAATTATTATAATATCCACAAAACCCATCTGATATTATTTAAAATTATTGGTAATCACATTTAAGAGAAGTTTCATTAATACGGATTAGGAATTTCAACTAACGATGGATAAATGTCAGTTCATGTTCACAACACAGCCATAAGTATACGAAATAACGATGAATCCATCTAACACGATGATTGGTTAACAATGAACATAAAATTTCAACACATTTGATTTTCTTAATAGTCATTTTGAATCATCCAATCAGAAAGAAACAACCAAACACTTAACAAATCTATATGAACCTGACAATTTCTATTAAAATTTGATTTACTACTTTGAACAAAAAGATGAGGTAAGTGTTAGTTGAACACACGTAGTAACTGAGTGTGTCATATAGAACATACATTTGTAGGCCAGGGTAATTTTACATTGATTTTCAAGAGAACCAGACACCATCCAGACTTTCACCTGACAACCTAAAAAGTACAGCTCAATCCCGTTTAACAAGGGAGTCAGACATCTCCAAGGCTTAACTTTTATAACTCGAGCAGTACAGCCCAATCCCGCTTCACAGGAGAACCAGACTCATTAATGTTAGCAATGGTGACATGCCTTACAATATTCCAATGACAATGGCCCTTGAGAAAACTGAAAAGCAACCATCAGTATGCATGAAATCGGTTAACCAGTAAACCAATTTTGAGCATAAATAGTCAGTAAAACTTGCGAAAGTACAATATCAATAGTGAACCTCTAGTATCATGTGAGACCTTCAGCTCTACATAGCCATATAGCTTATACTGTATACAATACATATATAGGATGATAAGCGAAATAACCTAGCCTGAAGCTATAGGGCTTAAAGAATGCTTATAAATCTATTGTTTAGTGTCGGAATACTATAACTAGACCATCAAGATCATTTTTATCGCATTTGCGAAAATTTCATTTTTTTCCCGACTTTCTATACCCTGAGTTAGGTGTAGTGTATCCCTTGAGATAATGTTGCCTTTTTTGCTTGCCTAAACCATTTTAGATACAATTTTTTATCTGATCGTCTCTCAATATCACTTTATTTGATCATTTTCTTACTTTACAAATGCTTCACTTATCAGAAGGGGTTTGTGGAAATTTTAGAAATTTCACAGATTGAAATCATCAGTCAGTTGAGGCTTGACCACCATGGAAAACCTGGAAGCTCAGTGGTCTAATGGTTAAGTGCTCGCGCGCGAAACCAGTAGGTCTTGGGTTTGAATCCCGCGGGGTGAGGGATCGTGGATGCGCACTGCTGAGAAGTCCCAGTGCTTCCAGGTATTCCATGGTGGTTTAGCTTCAAATGACTCATGATTTCAATCTGTGAAATGCTTCAGTTGTCAAGATATCTGTGAAAAACCTGAATAAAAAAACTATAACAAAGTAATATTTAAAAATGATTCATATCAATATGTAAGAGTAATTAGTCAGATTCTAATACACATACTAAGTCTTTCCATTATAATTATTCAATGAGAATTATTCTTAATCAATCTCATCCAGATATGAATGATCAAGCGGTGTACGTCAAGGCTGTTCACTTTCTTCATTTTTGCTTAACTTCATCATAGACCTACTAATGGAAATAACATTTTCGTCGACTGAATTCTCGGGTATTAATCTCCTACCAGGAGGTCCACTTATCGACTCAGAATACGCAGATGACATAGTCCTGTTTGGTGAAGACGCTGACAAAATGCAGAGTCTTCTGGTAACACTAAGCAACAATGCCAGAATGTTTGAAATGCGCTTCTCTCCCTCTAAATGCAAGTTGTTGCTTCAGGACTGGTCTGCGTCAACACCTGAACTAAGGATAGGGAGTGAAGTAGTCGAACGCGTTGACAACTTCACTTATCTTGGAAGTGTGATCAGCCCTAATGGGTTGGTATCGGACGAAATCTCAGCACAAATTCGGAAAGCTCGTTTAGCTTTCGCCAACTTACATCACCTTTGGCGAAGGAGAGATATCCGTTTATCAATAAAAGGACGAGTATACTGCACGGCAGTCCGTTCTGTTTTACTTTA